GCACTGAATCCGTCACGGCCTGCCTCGGCAGGGACCTTGTACACGTAGCACTGAATCCGTCACGGCCTGCCTCTGCCTTGTATAAGTAGGTGCTCAATATGCTTTTAAAAGCTTGAGTGAAAAAACTGTACTTGAAATTTCTTGTAATATTTCTTACAAAAGGCCCCTTTTTTTGGTGCGAGGTGTTTGCGGAGAACTACAGCTTGAACCTTGTACATGCCAGACACATGCTCTGTGGCTGAGCTACATCCCTAGGCCAAAATCAGGACTATTTAAATTGCGATATTTATATCTTAGGATTAATTGGGGTCTCATTAATAAATACAAAAGGGGGAAATGTTTGTTCCATAGGTAATTTTATTTCGATTCAGTTTTATGGCATATAATTTGAGAACAACTAGTGCGGGTCCACTATTCTAAGGGTGTGTGTTAATGTATAGTAACTAGGTGTCTATGTCACCTCGTTTGGTAGGGTGGGCTTTTGAGGGTATAAATGGGCTATAAACCCTTGCTTTTCCTGATAACCCTGCCCTTACCATTAAACAATCCATAAGCATGTCAAGAAATGGTGACAACTCCTTTTGTCAAAGTTGGAAAAGTTACATTTAGAGTCTATCATTAAATGACTTAAAATGTTCTAGATCCATTTGTAAGCAGATGTAAGCTTTTAAAAAGCTTTAGCTTACATCCATGTGCAAAAAGGAGGAGTATACCAAAACTGTTGGCAGGTACAAAAACAACTTTTTCTCAATTTGTAAAATAAAAAGGCCTTGTTTTGCTTGCCAATCACTTTTGCTGTTCTACTTTACCATTTAAAGTGAGGACAGAAAGGGCCTGCCTGATAGCTCAGGGGACTAAAGCGCCTGCTTAGGCAAAGCACAGCAGTGGCCCGGGTTGATTCTGGAGTGCCCGGGGCGGGCTGAAGGGGTGACTGACACTGGGCGTGGTGGCTCCCATCTGTAATCCCAGCACTTGGGAAGCTGAAAACAGGAGAATCACTAGGAGTCCAAACTAAGTAGTGAGACCCTGTAGACCCTGCCCTAAATACAGAATAAATAAATAAATAAATAAATAAATAAATAAATAAATGACAGAAAGAAATGTTTGCAATATGTTTTCTGGGCTTAGTCCAGCAAGTCACAGGACTCTTTTCTTATCCTTTCTACTTTCATAGAAGGAATGGCTATGAGGGAAGAGAAAGACAATACAACATTAAAAAAGCATAACACACTCTTTTGGACCATTATTTCACTAAACTTAATCTCTCTAAATTTATTCTGTAGGAAATTACAAATGTATTTCTTCCATAGAAATTGCTATTAAGAAATTTTAGGGGCTGGAGAGATGGCTCAGTGGTCTAAAGCACCTACTTGGAACAAGCTTAGCAAAGCACTGGGACCATGGTTCAATCCCCCAGCACCACATGCCAGCCAGCCCCGCCCCCTGGTGGGCTGAGATGGCCACACACACACACACACACATACACACACACAAAATTAAAAAATAAATAAAATAATTAAAAAAAAAAAAAAAGAAATTTTAAACACCAGACTTTATTTGAACATTAAAAGAACATTTCTAATCAAAAATACATTTCTTTTTGTGTTTTCCGGACTTAAAGAACTCCAACACTAGTGTCTGGGTGTGTAAGCTGGGGGAAGAAGTCAGTAACTTAAAGACGAAGGCAGGGTGACTTAGTTTAGAGCATGACACAAAGTGAGAACTCATTGGGAAGCAGCCCACGTTCCTCCTGCTAAATGACCAATGATGAACGACTCCCCACACCTTCTGCCAGGCTTATGCAGTAATAGGCCTTATTTTACTGCAACAAATGAGGCTCCTCCTCCTATCAGTCATGGTCCATTCCAACCAGCAGGGTGCCAATAAGCCAGAGGCTAATGAAAAGGGCCTCAAACAAAAAGGGAACAATGGAGCCCTCCTAGGTCCAACCCTGGAACTGTGGGCCCAATTTTTTAAACACTACAGTGCACATTTCAGTTAATCATTATTATGTTAATGTTATTGAGTCTAAAGAACAAAGAAACTTATCTCATGAATTACTTTTAAACGTCAACTTCCATGAATTTTCTTTTGTTACAGACTGCAGACCATTTAACCATCCAGATCTCTCTCTCTCTCTCTCTCTCTCTCTCTCTCTCACACACACACACACACACACACACGGGCTCTGAGGTAGAAATCAAAACATAAATTATCACAAAGAAGTCTGATATAATCAACAAAGTTAAACAGTCCCCTTGTTTGATCTCTTTTAAATTAAAGACTGAGTGTTTTGATATGGTATTAGGCACTGAAATAAACCAGATGTTTCTTCCTCTATAGAACTCTCCATGGGCACAATCTTAAAGGGTTATTGTCTGGCAAATGTTCAGGGAAATACACTAGAAATGGCACGAATACACAGATTTTCCTTTCCTTCTATCTACCCTAGTTTATTATCTAAATAATGCATAATCCACAGGGCTTTGGGAACTTTGTGTAAATACTTTCATGTACAATTCTCTTTCTTGCTATCCTGAGATTAAGACCACAATTATCCAGGCTTAAACCTAAAATAAAAGAACCTTTGCACACGCATTATCTGGCCTTACATGTTTAATCACACAGCATTCTGTGTGCACTCTAATACCTAAACTGTAGAACAAAGGTTGCACCCTCAGATGTTTCACCCATGAAAGGCCTTCTAAGGCATGTATCAGACAACTGGAGAACCAGAATTAGCTTCTAATGATAATACAGTGTTTTTCCACGTAAAGCTAAATTCTATATTGACAATATCACATTCTAAGTATCTTAAAATTTCAAATACTCATGGCCAGCATTTCCAAGATCATTAACACTTAACATAAAATTCTGATACACATGTCAGATACTCAAATGTAATCCTCATTAAGGTCCTTCTCATCTCTTCTAATCCTTCCTATCCCAAGATAATGTAATGTTTTTATTTTTTAGCACATATAAAGCACTAACCACATATTTAAGTGAATATGAGTCTGTAATAGCAGTTAAAGAGTGTTTGGGGAGGTGTCTGGATGGGGGAGGCGGAAGACAGACTGAGGGAAGGGATCTGAAATCTGCAGACCATCGCATGTAGTGATGGAGCAGATGGAATGCATCACCATCAGCTATGACAGAAATGATTTATGGAATGACCTGACTGCTCTTGCCTCCTAACAACATGGGATGACAGAGTAGAGTTTCCATGACAACCAAGGCCCACCCACTGACTAGATTAAACATTTCTTCCTTGGCTTCCATCCAAATTTTCTTTTCCAAAGGCATCCTTCCAGGCTAGTATGGGTTCAGAATATGGGAAGACATTCAAGGACATAAGGGGTAACAGAAGACTCTGAAGGCCACTGAGAACACCACAGACTTGTGCCTGCCTATATGCCACGGTTCTCTATAGAAGATTTTTTCCAACAGATGACCTCTGAGGAAAACCAAAACAGAACACTTGAATTGCATGTTCTAGTTTAAAAGGTTACCTAGCAGAATTCAAATGTTATTTGTCCTCTCATGTGAATTTTTGTTAGTAGACTTCTAGGATCAGCAGAAGGAATACAGTAAGCCAACCAAGCCATTAGGAATCTCCAGGATCTAATAATGTTTGATCATAATTTTTTTTTCATAAATAGGTAGTTTTCTTCAGTAGGAATAAATTCAGAAAACAGTGGGACAATCTTCTTGAGCCTCATCTACACATGCTGTAACACAACTCTACAGCATGTGGTGCCTGGGCAGGCACAGTGGTCTCAAACTGGTGAGGCTGAGTTCCCAAGCATAGGCATTGTGATTCCATCTAACTTTCCTGAGCTCAAAGTATTTAACTCTTTCAACCTTAGTTCCTCATGTGTAGCACAGGGATAATAATGCCAACTTTACAGAGTTTTCTTGAGGATTAGATCAGTACTCAGCACACTGTCAAGCACCCAGAAGTATTCAAATTGCACCTAATAGTTTCTTAGGGTCTTGTGATCACCACTATGATTATATATGTTCCAAGACAACTCAGGAAACATTTATTGAGCTCCTCTTTGATGTAGGACTATACTACGTAGCAGATGAATTTGACTTGGTTTCATTTCTCATGACGTTTGTTTATGGCTACAAGGAAAGTTTTAGTTACATAAACGATATATAAGTTTTATGTCTTTAAACCTTTGAAAGGTACAGCATGTTAAAATCTTGTACCTTTGCCATGACTAGAAACTATCATGCAACTCCATGGGCCTTCGAGGGATGTCTTTTGGATGATTAGACTTGAACTCTCTCAAGGCTACTGAGCACTGCTCTCCCTTCTAGTTTCAGCATTCCAAAAGAACAGATTTTAATTCTAACATTTGAAGAGTCAAAATATTGAAACACAACCACTGCTTGTCATTGATTTCTTGACTGATACAAACTAGTTGTTTAAGAAAATGTAAAAAAAGGAAAATACTGTAACATTCTCTGAATCAGTTTTATTCATTTTAGACTGTGCTCTTCAGTGACTGTGGCCTTTTATTTATTTTTAATTTGGGTGTGTGTGTGTATGTGTGTGCGTGTGCGTGTGCGCAGGGTCTCACTATGCAGCTTGGACTCACAGTGATCCTCCTGACTTGTGCCTCCCTACTGCTGGGATTACAAGCACGCGCCACCATGTCTGGACTCCATCACCAGCTCAATGCACCCGGGGGCAGGGCCGGTACATCATGTGGTGCCAGGGATTGAACCCTGGCACCTGCGTTTACCTAAGCACATGCTTAGTCTGCTGAGCTATACCATTGGTCCTTAATCTGGTTTTTTAAAACATCTCATTGTTTAGTTTTGAAAGACTCAGCTGTAGCAGACTGTTTTTTCTTTAAAAGAGTAACTGTGTTGTCTCTCTCGGTACTACTTGATTTACTTTAATGACTCCTAAGTATGTGTTTAAAACAAATATACATACTTAATGATGGATTTTAGCCATTTGTTCTTTAAATTTAAAAAATGCCCAAATTTCTCTTTCTTTCACCTATATCCTAAAACAAAGACAGATTTTTAAATTTTGGTCAGATGGCTGTTCTTTTTTTTTCTTTCTTAATGTATTTGATTGTTACAGGGTCTCATTTCGCAGCTCGGACTCATAGTGACCCTCTTGTTTTCAGCATTCCCAAGAGCGGGAATTATAGGCTTGTACCACTAAGCCTAGATTCTGTGGCTGGCTCAGCCCACCCTAGGGGTGGGGCTGGTGTAGCATGTGGTGCCACAACCTTGGTCCCTGCACTTGCCTAAGCAGGTGCTTTAGTCCGCTGAGCTATCTCACCAGCCCCCAGAGGGCTGTTCTTATACAGGGGTGGGCTGAGAGGGTATTTTTATGAGTTAATTTCAGGGCATGCATAAATATAACCTGAGAACAGCTCTAAAAGTAATAAAATGACTAGCTTTAACTACGTGCTTTTATGACACAAAGTCTAACCACTGCATTCAGCAGTGCAGATAATGCAGCAGAACAAGGAAAACCAATACTCACAGAGGCCAACGCCTTTCCAAGTGCGTCACCTGTCTGAGAGCTTCCAGCAGCATTCCCTCTGGTTCCTAGATATTTCAAGAAGGGAAACAAATCAAGAATTTCTGCAGGAAAAGAAACATTCTTAGCACACTGCCATTATTCTAAGAGGAAGAGTGATGACTACTGTCATCACTGGGTCATCACAGCAAGCTAGGAAGTATGTGTTGTACTCTACAAGTTAAAGCTGTATTTCCTCTTAGTTTCTGGTTTAAAAAATTAAAAGCTTCTTTTTTTCATATTTTGGTTTTTGGAGACAGAGTCTCACTATGTGGGTCAGGCTGGTCTTGAACTTACTATGTAGCCCAGGCTGGCCTCAATCACCCAGCCATCCTCCTGCCTTAGCCTCCCAAGTAGTGGGATTACAAGTGTATGCCACTATGCCCCAATCTTTATTTTTAAACCAAATACTAAAAATAGAATGAAAGATATGGAGTTCACTGAAAATTCCTAAATTAGGTTTTACAAAGTTTTATAAACCAAAAGGCTCACCCAGAATGCTGTCTGATCCATTGACAGGAGGAGTGTGGGAGGCGGCAACATATGGGGAGCTGCTGGTGCCACCACGGTGGAAGCTGGACATTGGGGGAAGACTTGTGCTCATGTCTGTTGGCGAGACTGAGTGAGGAGGGTAACTCTAGAACAGGGAACAGAGATGTGCTCTGTTAAACATATCTCTGACTTGCGTGCATCCATACTGGAGAACTACTGTAACAGGCCAAAAAGAGCATAATAAACTAGCAGCTAACAACTGTCACTACTACAATTTGCTTTCAGTAAATGCAGTAAGCCTAGAAATACTTCCAACTCCAGCCATCTTGGCAGAATTAAGTTTCCTACTTGGAATACCAAAGGAAACACGCGTGAGGCGAGGTGTGGCTGCACCTCTCCGTGTGTGATCGCCTACCAAGCGGTCATGGGAGTGAAGGCTGCCATAGCTACTGGACTGAGACATGTGGGAAGCAGAGGACCCCAGAATTCCACCAAAACCAGGCTGGCTCATCCCATTTGATGAACTCCAAAGGTCAGAAGAATTGTGGGTCCCATCTAAGACAAAAAGAGAAATAGGAAATTTTTCTTAGCTGATTTTAAAATTTTGATGATGTGTATAAAAATTTAAAGGGTACCCTCCAGATATTTCCCCCCTCTTCTAATTTAATCTCCTACCCAGTTTTCTTCTCTTCAAACTATAAAATTATTATGTAAAAGGAAAAAATAGGCTTCTAGAAAAAAATGTAATCCAAATTGTAATAGGTAGTTCAGTCTAAAAATCTTTAGATGATATAAATTCTACCTAAACAGATATTCAATATCTCAAATTTGAGGATTGGTTGGATTTAATTTTTGGTTAAATGGCACACCCATAAATATACCGAAGTTGGACATAGGAGAACCTGTACTGTAACATGTAACTCAGTTGTGCTCCAAATTATCTGATCAAGAAGATTATGGAGCCACAGAGGAATGTGTTCGATGATGTAATGTGAGCCTGGGGAGAGTCACATGGAGAGAAAAAACATTTTCTCAAACTTTCACAGAGAGCAAATTGGTCAAGCAATGGCCATGACTCATCCTCATGTCAGACACTGACAAAAGGATGTACAAAGGGTGGTACAGGCTACAGGATAAATCCTGAGAGTACTTGGCTGACCTTATCAGATACAAAAGTTACATTTCTTTTTATGTAGGTCTTACTATATCTTAGTTTTAACCATCCAGCAGAAAAGTATAAAAATGAGGTATATAAAGTAAATCCATATTAATAAATGAGCTGTAAAAGGCTCAAGTCAATAACTTCTGAGGATAACCCACTAATATTATAGACTGCTAGACAGTGTTAGATTGTTTAGTTGAATTCAAACATCTATAGTATTTAGATGCCAATAGAATACTCACCTCTGACAGGACAAAAAAAAAAAGGATACAAAGGAAAGATCCTTTTGTATTTATATATACAAAATAGGATAAATTTACAGCTACTTTCGCTTAATTCAATGAGAAGAAAGAGGTATACTAACAGTGTTTGGACAGAATATCCTGTCTGCTTCTTGTGCTATGGATAGCCACTAAGAAGATAACAATGTACAGTGTATTAATTATAAAAACTGTCCTATTAATCAGCTGTGAAACTGTCTCATTCATATTTATTTCTCAATAAAAAAATACCGAAGTTCTTAATCTCTTAAAGACCAAGTACATTCTATCAGATGTTTTAAAGCAGTAGAATCAAGAAAGTTCTTAATACTAAGCTTAATTGATAATGATCACATTATAGTAAACCTTCAAATGAAACATGTCCACAGTGACTTCACTCACGATGCAAAGAAACCATTTATGTAACAACTTATATTGTTCCCATATCATATGCTTCTCATAGTTTTAAACCACAGGAGACCACATAAAATGATTTGCTAGTCATGTATTACAGGAACTGCAACACATTTTTTCTCTTTTAACAAGTCTGACTCTGTTCTATAATATATTGGTAATTTTAGGTGTGATCCAAATCTGCAATTTAAGTGAGAAACCGGGGTTAATAGCTTTCATATTTTTAAATTTGAAAACAAGCCAGAACAGCTTTATTCATTTTCCTCAATTTAAGCCCTTGATAAATTCAATCAGTACCTGACAGGCACTCCAATGGTTTGCCTGAAAACCCAATTAATTTACATTAAGCAGCAGAAAACTATATAGCTAAACTGTAAGTTATTTCAGTCCTAAACACCTAGATAATTATAGATACCTGTTACAGCTGTTTTCTTTCCTCACATTCTAAACTTTCATTTATTTATGCATCTGGTACAGGGCCTCAGATGCACTTCAGACTCTTTATGACCCTGTCGGCGCCTCCTCACCACCGGGGTTACAGGCATGGGCCACCACACCTGGTTTTGGTGGTTGGCATGGCATGGCCGGGGTTCTGGGGTCAGCATCACACGCAGTATGGGGGTCCTTGTGCTTGCCAGGCAGGTGCTTTGATGGCTGAGCTATCTCCCCAGTTCCAAATCTTTTTCCTTTTTTAGGTACTGAGGATCAAACTCAGAAGTTTGTGCTTACCAGGCAGGCACTAATGCCGCTGAGCTATCTCCCCAGCCCTCTTGCCTCACATTTTAAAATATGGGTGAACATATAGGTGACTACAGTCATATGTGGTGGCTACTGGCAGTACTTACCTTGCATAAAGAAAGTGCTAGCAAACATACTGGTAGGTGGCTTAGGAGATGGATAACTAGGGGATTCACGGTTGAAATCATCTGAATTTGGAGATGGTGCATACACCTTAAAATTAAATAGGAAAATTAAAGATTTTAAAATGAAAATTATAGTATTTAATATAAAGTGTGTGATACATTCCAAAAAGTACCTAAAAAGTCTATCTATTCCATAAAGGCCTACTATAAATACAAAAGACATTGCCTGAATCTACACAGATTATGTGATGTTTGGTTATTATGTGTTTCATTTTAGCTGATTACTAGGAAAAATATTCTAACTAGCCATGAAATTGTATCTTGGTGTGAAATTATACCAAGAGGATAAATAGACTCACTAAGTGTTGCCTAGGTTAACAAAGTACAAATCTCACAATGGATTATGATTACAAATTAGGTGCAATCGTGCAGGCTTGTAATCCTAGCCTTCAAAAGGCTGAGGCAGGAGGATCACCATGAGTCCCAGGTGAGCCTGGGCTACATAGTGGGCTTAAAGGCAGCCTGAACCACATAGAAAGCCTTTGTCTCCAAACAGCAATGACAAACCTGATGGGCCAACAAATGTCCTCAGAATAGACAGAATTCATTCTTTTTACTGTCACAATATTTATCAAAGAAGATAAAAATGAAGGTTGCCACTTTCTGTTACTATTACAGGGTAACCGTGAAAGGTGCAACACAATTATTCAGTAATGAATTTAACAGTGTTAACAGATATATTAAAACCAAATTCTAGGGGCTGGGGAGATGGCTCAGTAGGATAAGTGCTTGACTGGCAAATGCAAGGATCTGTGTTCAATCCCTGGTTCCGCCAAAAACAAAAACAAAAACAAACAAACAAACAAACCAAAAAAAACCCCAAAAACCAAAAAACAAACAAAAAACCAAACTCTGCTGAGGAATTTTAATTCTTTAAAGTCTGGCTGTATATTAAGAGAAATATAACTGACTTTGTTAAAGCAATATTAATGTCCTTTTGTAAACTTTTGCTTCAGATAAAACTATGAACATTTTGAATTAGCAAATGATCAATATTTGCATTATAAACTTAATAACACCAATGATCAAAACATAATGATTAAAACATAATCACACCATTCTTATAACATCTAAAACCAAGAAGGAAAAGTAAAGAATCAGAAATAAGAGAAAGAAAAGCCATTATGAACTGTATACAAAATGCTTTTATTTTAGTTTGTTAAGGAAACATCCATTAAGTTTTGTTGCAAAATAAAAATTTGTAAGAGTTCACTTAACTAGAAGAAAGTTATATTAAAATTATGGGAGCATGTGAAAAAATTTGTATTTTTGATTGTATAAACATTTGTGTAATTACACACAAGATACTGAAAATGGTTAATTTCTGGATTTAGAATTGTGAAGAACTTTTACTTGCTTGTACTTCTAAATACTATGAACAATAATACGAAAGTTAAGCATGCTAATATTAAAATGGAAGCCACTTAATTTACATAACTATCAATTACATATTCATAAGCTATTTGTAAAGACCTCTGGCAAATCACTCTGATCTTCCTATGGAAGATGGTGCCAACAGAGCTACATGGCTAGGAGTTGATGGGAAGAGCAGAGGAGACAGTGATAAATGTTCAGTACACTACCTTGGGACAAAACAAGCAGTAAGAATGAGCTCATAGCATCATCTTTTGATTATTCAATGGAAGTGTAATGCTGTTAAATATAGCCCTATTGGTCTTCAAATGCTGTTTCTTAAGAGTTTTTGTGTGACAGGCCTTTATATAATACACAACTGATCCCAAATAACAGTTTTAGAAGTTTGTTTTTGCTTTTCTTGGGAGGCTGGACAGTTCTAATATAGGTGTGTCTTTTGATGGATTGGTATTCAGGTTTCTTTCCCGTCTTTCATATCCCAGATGCAAAAACCGAAATCTGTGGTACCTGACAAGTTTGGGCCAAAGTAAGATACATTCCTAAGTATTATCCAGAAGGACCCTACGTAAGAGTTACGGCAGATAAAAAAGTGTGTTCATTGTATATATTAATCATACCACTCTAGTTTAAAAACGTTCATAAAAGATTATGTTAGAATTAAATAACTGTTTAATGTGTTGGAAATGCCTTGGACAGACTGATAGGCAAAGTTTTCAGGAAAGGAACTTCAGACTACTTTCTTTTAATCAAGTTTTAGCTCTAATCTCAGCCACAACTAGATGTCCTTTGCCCTCTTTGTATATAGGTTTCCCCAAAGGAGGCTGAAACTACAAACAGCAAAGAGTAAGTAAATCCACAGACTTAGCCAGGAAATACCAATACAAATGAAATTCTGAAGACAACATCATAACACATACTTTTTATCACAAGTGTGTTTTACTATACTCTTGTTTAGAAAGTATAAAATATAAAATTCTCTAACTGTATGATATAGACTGAAATAACATGTAAGTCACACATTTGATAATTATAAAAAAAACCCAGTTCTGCTGGATCATTTCATACACAAAACCCTGCACAATTTCTCAGTTTAACTTTCTAATTTGTTTCTTTATCCTTTATCCTATTCGGTTTACTGTATATCACACAGGACTTACACTCCTGAATTTTAGAATGTTTGCAAATACAAAAGAAAATGAAATAACATACTTTACTGATTTACAAACTGCTGCTAAAGAAAAAAAATTGATCATATAATAATTAACAGTTGTTAAGGATAGCAAAGATGCAAAGATAAACCACACAAAACAGAAAAAATTTTGAAGCTGTATGAAAAAGATGTGTTAGAGGTAAAGTTTGTTTTTAAAGTCAGTCTTTGTAAATAGGCTTTGAAAAAAAAAGGAGTTTTAAGTGTTACCTCCTATAAATAAAAATGGTAGAAACTCTAGTACTGGATCATTTATGTTTTAACACAAGTTCTAAATTTTCATCATAATAAAAATGTTTTCAAATACATGGCCTCATTCGCACAGGCCCGCCCAATCGCATTTCTAACTCTACAGTTGGTACCCTAACCAAAGCTTGCAACAACACAGATGCAATGCTGTGAAGCGGCCGCTGTGCCAGTCTGTATTTTTCAGATCAAAGACTTCTTGCGGCAAAGTCCAACTGATGTGGTCTCAAAGATTTTATTAATCCCAGATGTAGGGAAACAGCGAGCCAAGTCCACAAAAAGAGCACGTCCATTCCTAGCTACAGTCAGTACTGGCCACAAATTAAAACCAGACTGCTTATGTCATCTGATCACCTGCGCATAGTTGGTAGGTTTTTTTCTTCTTCTAGTTAATGATTTACTCATACATTTAAATTTCAAGGATGATTCTGTATCACAACAACCCTAAAATTAAGAGAAATGAATAGGTACATTTTAAGATGATTAACATCTACCAGGAGTCAAACTATTTTAAAAAGAACAGAAAAAGTACAATTAAGTACTTTAAGATGTTTTATTAAAATGTGGTGGACAGAAGTTTTCTTTAAAAATCTAGTCTCCATTTCAGAAAGCCAGGCTCCTGGCAGATGTAATGGGGCCACGTATTTTTCTTAAGCACTTAAATTTTCCCCTTGAAGAATGGTAGTAAGAAAAAGTATGAGTTTATGACGAATAGACAATCCTAAAAGAATAAAAATGAAAATCTGATACCTCAGTTTTATCAAAGTCTATTTCAAAAACAAAGAACAAAGTCCTATCAATATCTTTAATGTCCTGATCCCACCCACCTCAAAGTGACTATTATAAACAGATAGTATAATTCAAGGATGAATATTTGCAGTTACTCTTAACAGAGACCACACAATAATCTTTGGAATGTTTCAGCTCACACAACCAAGTAAACGGCAAGACCAACTTTAAGAACTCTACGCAGAGAACGGTCTTCTGCCTGAATTTGGAGTCACCCTTAAGTCTAAACGAGATGAATCATCCAAGGAGGACAAAGGGAATCTGTCTTTGTGAAATTTTAGTTGATCCTGATTTCAATGCATTCTTCCTGTGACTGATACTGAGACCATCCCTGGGTGGGAAGAAAGCATAATGACTTTCTGGTAATTGTTGAGAAAAGGCACAAAGTAGTAGAAGCTTTGGACAAAAAAAGATGAATAGATCAGTCTGTGTGATGGCTAACATTTTAAATGACCCGCGTGACTAGGGACAGGTATTTTCTCCTAACAGTAAGCGCTCACCCAGGGGACTTTCCACAGAACAGAAGACGAATGCTCAAGCCACGTGTGTCCACGCATGGAAAGCTCCTACCACTCCTGCACCACAACGAACTCGTCACACAACCACCGGACGCCCAAAATGTGCACAGCCCATCTGAGGAATTAAACGTTTAGTTTTTTTTTATTAAACACATATGTGGCTAATAGTTACTATAGTGAACATTGACTTAGACCATTCTTCCTTATTTAACAATTAATGATCACATACATTATTTTAAAATCAATATTCTAAATTCTTATAAACCTTAAGGTCTATGAAGCTAGCCTAAATTCTCAAAACATATTGGGAATACTGTCACCTAATTTTGGATGAAGCAATATTGAAAAGCTTATCTATTTTTCTAAACATGCTCCAAAACAGAGCTAGTTACCAAGACTTCATTATGTTTGGACTTCTATTACCTCTTTTGTGAGATGATCTAAATAATTCTCTTTAAATTCCAGTATGTTCAAAACCATTATATACTTTAATATGTGCTAATCTGGACCTTTAATACATGACCATTCTATGGTAATAACAGAAATTACCTTGAGCACAATTTATATTCATTTACCACAATAAAACAAAATGAAATTATTTGGCTAATTTACCTTAGAACATAATATTTTAAGTGAAAATTTGATAGTATAATCAGAACAATCACTTTATCTCATTTTTATATAATGATACCTTGTATTTTCATGAGACCTAGCTGAGTACTTAAAACTTGAAAGGAAAAAAGTCTAGATCCACGAGAAAAAGAAAAGCTGAAGTCAAACACTGTAATGACAACTATAATTAAGCCTCTGGGTACAGAATTTTAAAAATATGTACACTTAAGAGTCAGCACTAACAAAAACTACGTAATGCTTATAACAATTTAATTTTTAGTG